AGAAAGGCGCCCATCATTAATGCTTGCTCTTCGTCCAGGTTACTTTCAACAGCGCTTGCAGCCACAGCCCACACGTCTCCCAAGTACTGAATCCCTGTATGTGACCTAATCCGATTTTTGTCACGAATCAGTGGCGAGTCGATTCTTTTCATGTATTTAAATGCAATCGTCGTCACCGCAGAGGGTGTCATTTAGCTATAGTAGATGCCGTAGGGGAATCTGGATAAGCATATAAATTCGTACCATAAAATAGGTTACGTGTAATCACAGAATCCTACGGCTGCAAGAGTAAAATGGTACTAATCTCTAAACATCTGAAATGTGCAGCTCTTCTAGAAAGTCTTCGCTAGGATTGTTGTATCAAGAAAGTAACGAAAAACATTCGTTATGCTAAACCGACTTTTCGAACAATACACAAAACGGCTCATCATCGGCGGAACAAACTGACCACAAACATATAGAAGGACACATTCAAATCAGAACATAAACAGCGAGGTCAGTGGTGGCACAAAACAAATGAATGGGTCATTACTATTAAGAAGGAATGTCAGCTGCTGTTGCAATTAAGCCTTCATTTGCTGGCCGCTAAGTTGTCCTTCCTATATGGTCAAGAGTTTAATTAACCTGCGCAATGCCTGTTGAAAAATTTAGCGTTTTATGAGTCAACGATTCCGGTAAGCACTGTCCCGTTCAATTCGAGTATGATAGATGCGCTCATTGTGAGCATGAGTGTGCACTACTTGAGGTAGACGTGTTCTTCTACTCATTCTGTGTTCGTAACGTAGTCAGTCGGCTTGATGTACAACGAACTTCGCTGGCATTTCATACAGAACCACTGCGGATTTCTGAGGTCATCCTTCACCACAGTTCAAGTGTTACAATGATATATCAACTTGCTTAGAAAAAAGAAAATCACTCTGGTCAAAGAATAATGAAAGAGCTGCAGAGTAAATTCGTCGAGGAATCACCGATGTTGCGTTGATAGCATCTGCCGAACGAACAGCAGTTTAGCGTTCATTTAGCTGTGAAACAGGAAAGTTCGTCTGAAAGTAGAAAACTATACCACAACCTAATGATGAGTCTAAAACGAGGAAATGATCATCTCAACTGTAAAGACACGAATTAGATGTAACTCAAGCACAAACATCGAAAGCCTCAAGAAGCGATTTCTCTCCTGGTGACAAAAGCGTATAGCCCAATACAGATGTTATATAGTAAAAGAAAGGGGACATAAACTGCGTTTCACATTCAAACAGTTTCGAATAAAGCAGCAGCAATCTGTAGTGGAGTAAAAAGTTCTAAATTCAAAGAAACTGCGGCCACACTGTCCATGGGGTAGAGTTTAGTCAGCGATAGATTACTGGACGGATAGTTTCACAAAAAACTTTTATCAAGTTATTCTGGTAAGTTCTCATAGAGCCAGTGACAGAGTCCAATGAACGCCCTCGGTCGCACTTAACAGGTGACGGGTTAAAATCATAGCAAGGTGTTGGAATTCATTCCACTGAGTTAAGTACAACCAGCCAATAATGGGTAGCAAAGGAACGAAATAGTATTCTGGTGTGGCCATACAAAAACTGCGGCACAAGCCACCTCATATCTGATTAAATCAACGCATAGTGTAAAGTTCAAGTTTAAAGTGAAGACATAAAAATCAAACAAAGCCAGACAAAGGATCAGGGTACAGCATCACATGCCAAGGCGAAGTACGGTGACCAGGAAAGTCGGTCATAAATGCTGAAATTGCTCGCAAACGAAGTTTTGGTCCTTATGCATTCAAAGCAGATCAAGGGAAGCTTATCCTCAGGAAAAAACGGAAGAAAAAGATTAAAGGCTATCGACTATTTTACTGCCTAAAGAAATAAGTCTCAAATTCTTTTCACAC